CTTGAAATCACTTTGATATTTCTGCGCGAAATGTTTAGTAGTTTCGTTCACTTTAAATGCCTTTTTCTGCCTACGTTAAATAGCAAATGCCTTGAGGAGGTCAGGAGGAAGCACACGGGCGAAACGTAGGCACTCGAAATCGCTGGGGAACAATAAGTAGCAAGTGTTTTCAGCCGGGAATTGGGCTTGAACTTCTTGTCCGATGATAAACTTTGGCGTGGGATTTGAAGTAAATTGTGCGAAAGAAAACGGCCGAAATCATCTAATCGCTCGATGATTGATCAATGTTTTTTCAGAGGGAGAATTCGAGTTGTATTTTTATTCATCGATGAAATTAAGAGCATTTTCTCCTTCTAAAACTAAATTTATGAGGACCAGTTTAGGCTGAAAATGCGCACCGTTTTGGGTGTTTTAATCTCATACTTATTCCTCACTTATCCAAATTCATATCAATACGCCGCCTGTTTACAGGAGAATTCACACAGTTTCCTTGCTGTTTGTTTCATTCATCCGATTCTTTCGTGGATAAAAATGCGAACAAATGCATGAAACTCTGTAAACTGGGAGTTCGTCAACTTCAGCTTTATCTCTAACTAGTCGAGGCGCTGCGATTTGAATCTAAAATAGGTCACGATCGAAAATGCGAATTGGATTTTGTGGCCGCTACACGCAACCTCATCTCAAATGTTTTGTTTGTTTTCAATATATTTCGCCTTTTTTGCACTCCTATTTTGTATGTGAGTACGCAAATCTATACGGTATTTTTCCACCAAAAAAATATTTTCCTGCCCGCATCTTTAACTCTACTAATTGAATACGACTCTTCTTCAAATAGAGCCAACTCAACTGCGAGTTTCTACTGAGGAACTCAGTGACTTCATAGATAGAAACCCTGCTAAATCATTGTCGAATAAGAACTTGAAACTTATAAAAGAGAAACAAAACCCGATCCAATTTAGTGCCAGGATCCGATCAGTCTTCGTTCAACACGTCGGGCATTTGCAATGGAAAAGTTGTCAACGTTGGTCTTCCTATCTAAGCGCATCTGTCGTTCGATCAAGCTCCCTAAACATTTTAAATGGAGAAACTGTCGCATCATTCTCTTTAACGGAATCCTCCATTAGAAACTACCGTACGTTTCCTTTCGCAACGTTCAGAAAATCGTTTTGAAACAGAAGAATGGAGTTCAAGAATTCATGCTTCGTTGTCTTCCTTTTCCGAACATTTTTGAAACTACCATGTTTTGCTTTATATTTTACTTCGTTCTCGATCACAACAGTTACATTTTTCGCAGGCCGCAATTTGCAGTGTTCTGCGGGAAAACGCAAGTTTACATTCTTGTAAGAGTGTGTTGCTTCCAAGACTGGAGAGATAGTTTGAATGTTTGTAAAAAATCAACCATTTTGCGGATTTAAGTGAAACTTTGCAGATTTTTAGCCCCACATTCTGGCTCTGCGCTCTTATAATTTCAGAAGTCCAGTAGCTTTGCGGTTGGGGCAATGATTTTTTCTCTGTGTACCTGGTAAGTCCAGTTGCTCACTTTCTGGACACCAAAGTTTGAATGCTTGTAAAAAATCAGTGGTTATGCGGATTCACATGAAACTTTGCTGAATTTTTACCTCACGTTTCCAATGTGCATGCTGAAAATCTCAGCTGTCGGCTTGCTTTGCTATTAGAGCAAGAATTTTTCTCTGCGTACCTCCAAGTTCATTTGCGTACTTTTTGGAGACTGGTGTTGGAAGGATTGTAAAAAATCAATGGTTCGGCGCTTTTACGTGAAACTTTGCACAGTTTTAGCTGCACATTTTTGCTCCACCCCCCACCATTTTCTGCTTTCGTTTAGCTTCGCCGTTGCAGCA